CTGTTGAGGAAAAAGGAATGAATAAAAACGAGAGAGGAGAGAGAAAAGGGGAGAGGAGGAGTGGGAGGAAGGGGAGAAGTGAAAAGAGGAAAGGTGTAAGAGAGGGAGAGGAAGGAGGAAAAGGGGGAGAGAGAGGAGGGAGAAGTGAAAAGAAGGGAAGGGTGTAAGAGAGGGAGATGAACAGAGTAAAGAGAAGGAGAAAGGGAGAAAAGGAGGAGGAGTAGGGGAAAATTAAAGAGAGGGAAAGGTGTAAGAGGAGGGAAAGAAGAGAGAAAAGGGGGAGAAGAGGAGGAGGAGGAGGAGGAGAAGTGAAAAGAGGGGAAAGGTGTAAGAGAGGGAGATGAACAGAGTAAAGAGAAGAGAGAAAAAGGGGATTAAGAAGAGGAGGAAGGGGGAGAGAAGTGAAAAGAGGGGAAAGGTGTAAGAGATGAAAAGGAAGAGAGAATAGGGGGAGAAGAGGAGGAGGAAGGGAAGAAATTAAAAGAGGGGAAAGGTGTAAGAGAGGAAGAGAGAAAGGGAGAGAAGAGGAGGAGGAAGGGGAGAGAAAAATTGAAAGAAAGGAAGGTGTAAGAGAGGGCAGAGAGAAAAGGGAGAGAAGAGCAGGAGGAGAAGAATCGAAAGGAAAGAAGAAGAAGAGGAGGAGACGTGAAAGGAGAGGAAAGGTGCAAAAGAGAGAAGGAAAAACTGCAAGAGAAGTGGAGAAAAAATACACATTCCGCTGTTATTATTTCACTTTGACGCCCTACTGTCGTTCATGTCATCATTATGATAAGTATCATTATCACTATTATCAATTCCATTATTGTTATCGTTATTCATGACATAAATATCACCTCCAACGTTATCATCATTATTATCGTATATTCCTATGAAGATCATTAGTAATAAAATCAATATCCCATTATCATTATCATCACTGCTTTTAACTATATTATCATCATGATAATCACCACACTATATCATCATATAATATGATTATTATAACTGATACATACTTTATTATCATCGTCATATAAACAATACGTCTTAACAGATCACGTGCACAAACAAACAAACAAACAAATAAACAAGCAAAGAAAAGGTTCGGAAACAGAACTGGATTCCGTAAATGTTTTGTTTTTCCTTAATCCTCCCCTCCACCCCCCTACCCCCCATCCGGCCAGGCCTTCTACCTTCCTTGCCCTTTCCTTCTCCCCCAGGCTCTCCTCTCCCCCTCTCTCTCTCTCTCTTTCTCTCTCTCTTCTCTCTCTCTCTCTCTCTCTCTCTCTCTCTCTCTCTCTCTCTCTCTCTCTCTCTCTCTCTCTCTGTCTCTCTCCTCTCGTCTCTCTCTCTCTTCTCTCTCTCTCTCTCTCTCTCTCTTCTCTCTCTCTCTCTCTCTCTCTCTCTCTCTCTCTCTTCTCTCTCTCCTTCTCTCTCTGTCTCTCTCTCTCTCTCTCTCTCTCTCAATCTCTCTCTCTCTCTCTCTCTCTCTCCCTCTCTCTCTCCATCTCTCCGCTCAATCTCCTCTCTCTCTCTCCCCTCTCTCCTCTCTCTTATCCACTCCTCTCTCATCCCCCCCTCACTCAATCTCCCTCCCTCTCTCTCTCTCTCCTCTCCTTTCTCTCTCTTCTCTTTTCATTTGTCTCTTCCCTCTCTTCTCTTATTCTTCTTTCTTCTCCCATATCTCTTCCCCTCCCCTCTCTCTCTCCCCTTCCTTGCCTCTCGCTCTTCCCCTCTCGACCTATCTTCTGCCCGTCTCTTCTTACACTCCCTAATTTCTCTTTCTCTTTCCTTACTCTCTTCTCCCTTCTTCTTCCTTTCCCTTTCTCTTCCGGATCCTCTCCCTTCCCTCTCCGCTCTTTTCCGTTTTCTTCTTCTCCCCCTTCCCTTCTTCCCTCTTCTTTCGTCTTTTTCTCCTTCCATCCTCTCTTTTACTCTCTCTTCCCCTCTCTTCCCTTACTTCTTCTTTCTTCCTCGTTTCCTTTTGTATCTTTTCTTTCCCTCCCCTCTCCTTCCCGTCACCTTTCCGTCTCTTTCCTTCTCCTCCTTTTCCCCTCACTCCTTTTCTCTTTCCCTTCCTTCCCTCCAAACCTCTACTTCTTCCTCGCTCCTTCCCCCCTCCCTCCTATCCTTTTTCCATTCCTTCATCCCTCCTTCCCTTCCCTTCCCCCTTCCTCTCCCTCCCTCTCTCTTTCCTTTTCCTCTTTCCCTCTCCCCTCCTCTTCTCTCTCTTCTCTCTCGCTCTCTTCTCTCTCTCTCTCTCGCTCGTCTCTCTCTCTCTCTTCTCCTCTCTCTCTCTCTCTTCTCTCTCTCTCTCTCTCTCTCTCTCTCTCTCTCTTCTCTTCTCTCTCGCCTCTCTCTCTCTCTCTCTCTCTCCTCTCTCTCTCTCTCTCTTCTCTCTCTCTCTCTCTCTGTCCCTCTCTTATTCTCTCTCGCTCTTTCTCCCTCCCTCTCTCTCCTCCCTTCCCGCTCTCCCTCTCTCCCTCTCTCCCTCCCTTCCCCCCTCCCCTTCCCCTCCCTTCCACCCCCAGTTCCCCTCATTCACTTCCTATTTCAACCCAAAAGATGCCACCAAAGAATTGAAGAATAGAAAGGGCCCTTCCGTTCTTAAGATGAGGGCGAAAATTTTGCAAAGTTTTCGAAAGATTTGCATATTTTGAATGATAAGAGGATGAGTGAAGAGTGATAAAAGCGGTGAGTGAGAGGTAAGAGATGATAAAAAAAAGAGTTGAAGAAGGAAAAAGATAAAGCAGATATGAGTAGATGGTTTGGAATATAAGATTTGTTAGGGTATTTGAGTATCTATTTTGTCTGTTCTGTCTGTCTGTTCACTGTCTTTCTGTCTGTCTATCTATCTATCTCTCTGCCTACCTATCTATCCTCTCACCTACACACAACCATATACATGTGTATATATACACATCTGTATGCGTACATATGCATCATTCGTATAAATGTACTCATACGCATCTGACACGACAAACAACAGACACGAATAAAAAACGTACACACAAGGCAAAACCCCCGCACGTACACGCTACGCACACACGTAAATTTGGTCAGCAGAGATTATAGCTTAAGCCTTCGCATTCACCGGGAAAGCACAGCCTCTGATGAATGACGTGAATGGAGGCAGGAACGAGTGGAATTAGACTGTAAACTGCAGGCTGGGAGCGTGAGTCGGTCTGTGTTCTGTCTCGTTACTTTATGGTAATACCGTATTGTGTTATGCAAGGCTGTGTTATGTGTTGTATATGAGTGAAGTGTGTAGCGTGTATTGTGTGTTATTTATCATATTGTTTGCCTTTTTCTTTATCATTTTAGTGTTGTCTTATGCTGTACATACGTAGTACATTTTGTACACTTGTTGATAAGTGTGTGTATGCGTGTGTGTGTGTGAAAGAGAGAGAGAGAGGGAGAGGGAGAGGGGAGAGGAGAGGAGAGAAGAGAGAGAGGAGAGAGAGAGAGAGAGAGGAGAGAGAAGAGAGAGAGAGAGAGAGAGAGAGAGAGAGAGAGAGAGAGAGGAGAGAGGAGAGAAGAAAGAGAAAGAAGAGAAGAAAGAAGAAAGAATAGAAAGAGAGAGAAAGTAAAAAGAAAGACCCTTCTTCTGAGAAATAAAAAAGAAAACAAGAAAAGCGAATTACCTGACGCTTCCAAGAATTTTTTTCAAGCCTCGCAATTAAACGCGAAAAACATCAACCACCAAGAAACCATTTAAAAGAATTGGCAACTGAAACCACAAACTAATGAGATCTACCACTTTACCCACACGGAGAGCCGTTGTAGAAAAATATGTGTTGTAGATTGCTGTAGAAAAAAGTGTTGCAGAATGTTGCAAAAGCCAATGCTGAAGATTGTTACAGAAATCAATGCTGTAGAAAAGTGTTGAAAAGTGTTGCAAAAGCCAATGTTGTAGACTGCTACAGAACACAGAGTCGTAGATTCTTATTGAAAAGTGTTGCAGAATGTTGCAAATGCCAATGTTGTAGAGTGGCAATGTTGTTGGTGTCCATTATCGCAAATTGCTGTAGCAGATAGCCTTGCATAAATCCCGTTTTGTTGATTGCTTTGTTACAGAAGTCCTCTGATGTAAATTTCTGCAGAAAAGGGCATTGGAGAAGTTCAGCGTTGTAGCTTATCGACAGACTGCTGTAGAAAATAGTGTTGTAGAAATCTCGTGTTGTAGAAATTGCCCGAGCCATTTGTACGAAAATCCAATCCAGTGTTGTAGATTATTGTAAGATCCAGTATTAAGAAAATCCCGTGTAGTAGATTGTTGTATAAGCCAGCGTGAAGAAATTCCCGTATTGTAGATTGTTGTAGAAGACGTCGTGTTGTACAAATCAAAGGTGAATCTTGGCCACAAAGAACATGGTCATTGAGACGAAGAGTCGTTGTCAGATGGCACAGTTAAATCTCGAGAATCTCTGGATTGTCTTCTTTCGTTGATAGTCATCGCTTTCATATCAGTTCCAAATTCTTCTTCTCTTCTATTTCTTCTTCTTCTTCTTTTCTTTTTTTCTTTTTTGTTGTTTTGTGTGTGTGTGTGCGTGTGTGTGTGCGTGGAGCTTATAAATCGTACTTTCCTTTTCTTATTCTTCATCATTGCCTTCTTTCCTTTTCCTTATTTCTTCTTATTATTTTTCTTCTCTTCCTTTCTTCTTTCCTTGTAATTTCTTCCAGTTGTTTCTTATTTCCCTGTTTTATCCCATCTCTCTTTCTCACTTCACTTGCCTCGGTCATTTGCCTTCTCTTTGTATGTAAATGTAACAGGGGAAATGGAGGAAACGCCAGAGTGAGTAAGAGGGAGAGAAAGAAAAGAAGAGAGAGAGGAGAGACAGTAAGAGAGAGAGGGAGAGAGAGGAGAGAGAGAGTGAGAGAGAGAGACAGAGAGAAGAGAGAGAGAGAGAGAGAGAGAGAGAGAGAGAGAGAGAGAGGAGAGAGAGAGAGAGAGAGAGAGAAGAGAGAGAGAGAGAGAGAAGAGAGAGAGACAGAGAGAGAGAGAGAGAGAGAGAGAGAAG